GTCCAGGTCGACCCGCTGTGCCTTCTTGTTGATGGACATGACGGACTGACGGACGTCGATGGCTCCGTGCAGTTTGCCCTTGAGGACCTGGGGGAGCCCGGGGAGCCCTGTCAGGGGGAAGACCCTCCCCCCCCCTTCCTCACGCAGCCCATGGGGTCTCCCCCAACTCGGGAAGGCTGCAGGGACACAGCCCAGCCCCACGCTCACCTCCTGGTGCGTGGTGGAGTATTTCAGGATGCCATTCTCCAGCACAAAGTACCTCTGGGGACAGAAGAAGGACGATCGTTTTTGGGGGGGCACAGACTGATCCCTGCAGCCCCTTCCTTATCCAGGGGCCCAAATCACCCCAGAAGTGAGCAAGACACCCAGGCCCAGGCAGGCAATGAGCAGGGCCAGCCGGGGTTACCTTGTGCCAGCCCTTCAGGGGCCACTTTCTCTTCTTGAGCAGGTAGCCCTCGTGCCGCTGCGGCTCCTGGCCCAGGCTGCCCCTCACTCTTGGCTCCTCCACCACCTCCCAGCTCTCTGAGCCCTGCTGGGGTTTTGGGGGGGTCAGCCTGGGGGGTCCCTCAGCACCAGGAGAGGACGGGGTGCTCCCCACCTCGTCCCCAGGCAGGGACACTTGGATACCCCCAAGGGCATCTCTGTGTCAGCCTTCCTAAAGGGGGGTGCAGCCCCCCATGGGGGATCCAGCTGAGCCCACCTCCCGCACCCCCCCCGACGGACTGACGGACGTCGATGGCTCCGTGCAGTTTGCCCTTGAGGACCTGGGGGAGCCCGGGGAGCCCTGTCAGGGGGAAGACCCTCCCCCCCCCTTCCTCACGCAGCCCATGGGGTCTCCCCCAACTCGGGAAGGCTGCAGGGACACAGCCCAGCCCCACGCTCACCTCCTGGTGCGTGGTGGAGTATTTCAGGATGCCATTCTCCAGCACAAAGTACCTCTGGGGACAGAAGAAGGACGATCGTTTTTGGGGGGGCACAGACTGATCCCTGCAGCCCCTTCCTTATCCAGGGGCCCAAATCACCCCAGAAGTGAGCAAGACACCCAGGCCCAGGCAGGCAATGAGCAGGGCCAGCCGGGGTTACCTTGTGCCAGCCCTTCAGGGGCCACTTTCTCTTCTTGAGCAGGTAGCCCTCGTGCCGCTGCGGCTCCTGGCCCAGGCTGCCCCTCACTCTTGGCTCCTCCACCACCTCCCAGCTCTCTGAGCCCTGCTGGGGTTTTGGGGGGGGCAGCCTGGGGGGTCCCTCAGCACCAGGAGAGGACGGGGTGCTCCCCACCTCGTCCCCAGGCAGGGACACTTGGATACCCCCAAGGGCATCTCTGTGTCAGCCTTCCTAAAGGGGGGTGCAGCCCCCCAGGAGGGAT